TCTCCGGCTCATTCTTTCCCCGACCCTTCGCCGGAAGACGCCGCTCGTCCGAACCATGAGCAATCATCTGCTCTTTTTTCTGCGCTACACCGTTCGAACTCCTCCGGGAGAAGTCTCCACCCTTTCCTCCTGACTTCGGCTCTACCCTCCCCACCTTTCCTCTGCCAGCACCCGGCACAGATCCACCTGTTTTCAGTCTGCCCCCTTTCACATGCAATGAACCGGCAGCAGCAGCACTTACTTCCCTGCCTTTCACACCCTTCACAGAGGACAAATCTTGTTCAGAAGTGGGCCTGGACGGCTGGCGATACTGCAGTTGCCCAACTGGAGTTGACGTTTCGGCCAACTGTCGTGCCTTCTCACCTAGTATCATCTCTGCCAGCCTGGAAAACCAAAAGAATATCAACATCAGTGCAATCAGCAGTTGTAAAGGTGTTGGTCCCCACCAATAGATGGAGCCGTCTTGGGGGTGCTAGCGGTGTCTGCTCATACCAGCACCTCTAGCACCGCCCGATTTTAAAAAAAAAAAAAAAAAAAAAAAAAAAAAAAGCAGTTTCAAAGCAGCGCGGTTCAGACTCGTATATGCATGCACAGCAAGCTACATCCACGAACGCAAAGTAAGATATTCGAAGTCCCCTATTGAAGAGGGATTCGAACCGAGGACATGCGAATTACGATTTGCTCTTCTAACCTAGTGAACTCACCGACGAAGCGAATCATAATTCACGTGTCCTTGGTTTGAATCCCTCTTCAATCGTGAACCGTGGCCACAAATGAAATTAGTACAACACTTACGCGCTGAAGGAGTAGTCGAACAAGCAAACAGAATCTGAGTGAAATCAGTAGAAAATTGAAGAACACAGTTCCAGCAAGCAAACCGTGACAGATTGAAATTGGTGATACTGCCAACACTCACTTGGGACAACAACATGTGCACTCCCGCATTGGCCATTTGCAAGTTTCATAGATGTCCTTTGTTGTTTCCTCATTAACGACAGCACAACACCCTCGCCTCCCATTACACACAGATGTCCAGAACCTAGAAACACAAAGAGACTGAGATCTGACCATTTACCAAAGTGCCCTCGACCTCAGCCCACCTGTCCGTGAATCCATCCACATCGGCCTCAGTCCATTTATCGGATGCTCCATCAACCTCAGCCCGCCGATCAATCGGTCCACATCGGCCTCAGCCCGCCCATCAATCGGTCCACATTAACCTCAGCCCGCCCATCAATCGGTCCACATCGACCTTGGCCCACCCATCCATCAATCCGTCCACATCGACCTCGGCCCACCCATCCATCAATCCATCCACGGACTCCACATCGACCTCAGCCCTCCATTTACTGGAAGGTCCACCGACCTCAGCCCACCTGTCCGTCAATCCATCCACAACGGCCTCAGTCCTCTGACCATTTTTTGGATGCTCCATCAACCTCAGCCCACCGATCAATCGGTCCACATCGACCTCAGCCCGCCCATCAATCGGTCCACATGAACCTCAGCCCGCCCATCAATTGGTCCACATCCACTTGGCCCACCCATCAATCCGTCCACATCGACCTCGGCCCACCCATCCATCAATCGGTCCACAGACTCCACATCGACCTCAGCTCTCTGACCATTTACCGGAAGGTCCATCGGCATCGACCTCAGCCCACCCAACAATCGCTCCACATCGACCTCAGCCCGCCCATCAAGCGATCCACATGGACCTCAGCCAAATATATTGTTGATGTCACCTGTCAATCGGTCCCTCGTGTCACCCAACCACCTATTGTCACCTGTCTCCATCGGTCCATCAACGTCATGTCACCCATCAACCGGTTCATCGACCTCATGTCACCCATCAATCAGTCCGTCGACCTCATGTCACCCATCAATCTGTCCATAGACATAATATCACCCATCGTTCAGTCCATCAACCTCAGCCCGATATACTATGGCTGTCGCCCATCAATAGGTGTGGTAGCGAGACGTCGTATAGACTCAGACTGTGCTCTTTCAGATGTGCGCCCAGCATTCAGGCAGACTGATGGATGGTGATCTCTATGATTATGAAGCGGGAAAAGACGGGTCGGGACGACAATGATGCAAAACTACGGAGAATATGGACGGAGGGAAGCGAGCAGCCTTTATGCCGCTGCTAGACTAACTTGTCTTCTTGGCATACTCCGGGCTGTCTCTTTTTTTCTCTCTCTCTGTTTCCTCTGTCTCTCTCTCTCTCTCTCCTTCTCTTCCTGTAGTATTACAGAGAGAAGAAAGGGGGTGAGGATTTCTCCGCCCTCGCCTATATGTTATCCCGTAAAGGGCGATTAATGATGAATGCCATGATGATAATGATGATAATGATGATGATGATGATGATGATGTCGACGGCGACGATGATGATGAATACAGATAAAAGACAAATGAAGACGATGAGGATAATGGTGATGGTGATGATGATAGTGGTAATGATGATAATGATGATGAAGTCAGATGAAGAAAAGTGAAGACGATGATGATGATGATGATGACGACAGAGGATAATGTTATGAAGATGATGATGATGATGATGATGATGGTATCAGGCTATGGTGGTAACGCTGAAGGCGCGGACAAGCTCGTACACTTTCTCTACTTGTTTCCCACTTTTGGCCTTCTCTTCCTCCACACAGAGACAGAGAGAGAGAGAGAGAGAGAGAGAGAGAGAGAGAGAGAGAGAGAGAGAGAGAGAGAGAGAGGTGGAAGAGTAGAAAGAAGAGGAAGAGAGCGAGAGCGGGTCTGAAAAGTTTTCATACTAGGAGGGGGAAAGAAGAGTGCTGCTCTTGCAGAAAAGAGGAGAGGTGAGGTTGCGAGAGGAGGGCATCGCTCGGGTACTCGATCTTGTGAAAATTAGGGTGTCAAAACTCGTTTCCTATTTCCAGAAGAAAAAAGCCATCCTTGTCCTCTACGTTCGTTCTCTGGATCACCTCCCCGTCGTCGTCCTCCTCACCCTCCTCCTCTCTCCGCCTCCTTTTCCTCGTCGTGGTCATCCTCCTCCACCTGCTCTCTCTCTCGTCTTCTTCTTCCTTGCCATATGTTTTCCCATCATATCTTGGAAATGTTCCCTCCTTCCTGCCCGTTACTAAATTTTGGGACCCCGCGTCCCTCCCCCTCTCCCTCTCCCCCCCCTTTGTTTCTTCTCGGTTTCTCACCTCCCCCCCCTCCCCTCTCTCTCCCTCCCTCTTGTTGATGCTGCTGCGGCATGAATGCGCTCAAGGCAGAGAGCAGAGGCTGGCTCTTGTATAGATGGATATTACTGTAGTAGCTCAGGACTGGTGGATAGGGAAGGAACTTCAAAAAGACAAAAGAATGTTTTTATTTTTATTTTTATTTTTTTCACACACAAAAAGAAGGAATTTACCACCTTTCTTTGGGCGGTCGTTGAGAGCTGGGCGATGGGATTGGTGCCTTGTCTCCGCGTCGTGATAGACGGAGAGGGAGTATTCGCAGGACACACTGCGCGGCAATGGGGGTTTGTTACGCGAATGTACAGCCTTTCACTGTGATTACTATGGTTTCTCTGCGTGTGCTTGATGTATGCTTGGTGTGCATCGGATGTATGCAGTGTGACTTGCGTATCTACTATGGTTTCTTCTGCTTCTCCTGGGTGAATCTGACTGTAACTACGGTCGAATTCAGTCAAAAATGATCTGGTGGGAGGACCCTCTCATAAGCATAGGGAAGAGGAAATGAAAATGAAAATGGAAAGGAAAATAAGCTACATTGGCCACTGGTTGTGATGTGGTGAAAGGAACGTGGACTTTTATATAACCCCGTGTTTTCTATCCTTCCTTTCCTCCCCCTCCCCCCCCCTCCTTCCCCCACTCCTTTTTTATCCTGTAAAGAGTCTAAATGACCTCGGGCCTAGCTCAGTTGGTACACCCATGAACTGTTGAAATACAGACCCAAGTTCGAATTCAAATGCAATCAGATGAGCAGAGTAAAACATCATTCTGGATTACCTGGGGGCCTCTCAGTTCAATGATGATATCTCAAGGCCGTCGCCCTTTATAAGAAGAAAGAGGAAAGAGTGAAGAAGAGGGAAATAAGGAAAAAACAGAAAAAAAGAATGACGTCTACCATGGTTAAACCACCACTACGTCCGTGGCTGTTTTTCCCGATCGACATCGTGCTGCGCGCCCAAAAAAAAGGGCGCGATATTTTGTCGTTTTGGCTGGTGGCGCCAGCTATTGTGGTCCAAATCGTGCTGGTGTTTGTTTGGAAGAACAATGGTGATATCTCAAGGTCGTCGCCCTTTAGAAGAACAAGTGACGCGGCCCAGCGCCAGCCCCACCCCAGGCACGGCCATTATCTGGCCCGGGCGACATTGAGGGTGTTTGTTTTAGAAGATGAGGGACGCGCAGCATTCGGAAGAACATGTCTGTGTGGAGAGAGAGAGAGAGAGAGAGAGAGAGAGAGAGAGAGAGAGAGAGAGAGAGAGAGAGAGAGAGAGAGAGAGAGAGATTTGGAAATGAATACTAATGTAGACCCCGAATATGTCATTGGCATTTCCATGTGTACGGGCGTAGCCACACTGGCTTTATTTGCTATTATTATTATTGCTCTTGTTATTTAATGGTTGCTTGTGTGTGAATCGTCTTGTCAATGCAAGCAGGCCGCTGTTTGTTAACTGCGTGAACCGCTCTCAGCACTCGGCACTCAGCATGGCGAAGGCCAATGGAAATCGCACGTAAGAGATCGATTGATTGACAAGAACGCGACCCCTCTTATTTTTCCTGTGCATCAGGAAAGCGAAAGCTGTATGTTTGGGGGGGGGGGAAAAAGACATGTTTGTTCTCTGAAATTCCTCCACTTTTTTCCCCTTCCTACCCCCCCCCCCAAAAAAAAAAAAAAAAAAAAAAAAAAAAAAAAACATCAAAAAAAAAAAAGCTATTTTTTTGGTGGGGAAAAAAAAGACATCATGGGAGGTGGAAATCCATACAGTCCCCGCTCGGAAACTACCATGCCGCCCCCCCAAAAAAAAAAAAAAAAAAAAAAACTAAAAATCTCTGGTGTGGCACTAACGTCTTGTGTTTCGACCACGTCTCTGATGCAAAGCAAAGA